TTGAAAGTTGTTGCTTTATTGGTGGCCTCGGTGATCTTTTCGGTGAGGATGCCGTTCAGAGAGTCCAGGTGTTGGATGGTCATTATTGGGGTGTCTGTGATCGTAGTTTCCTGTAGATAGTGTCGGAGAGCGTCCCAGTCAATGAATGTATGTTAGTGGTTGAAGTGGGTTTGGTAGGAAATTTTCGTTCAGTATAATTTTAATTGGGTTGTGGTCAGAGCTTAGAGAGTCGGAATTTGTGATTGACAAATTCAGAGCGAGGTTTGTTGTTAGGGCAATATCGAGAATGTCTGGGCCGTTGCAGTGGAAGTGTGTGGGTTCGTCGGGAGCGTGTATTTGAAAGTCTAGTCCTCGGAGAGCTGGAGGAGTTTTTTGTCCTCCCCGTTGGAACCTTTGCAGCCCCATATAGTATGTTTGCTGTTCAGGTCTCCAGCAAGGAGAGTAGTTTCACTCGGGTTTTTTCTCGGATTTCGTAGTCTTGTGGAGTTGTCGCTTTTTTGGGAGGCTTGTAAGCCGAGGTAAGCCGCACCGAAGTGTTGCACATCTCGAGCTTAATTTCCGTGTTTTCAATGACTGAATTGAAGGGGGGAATTTGTGTGTGGGCTATGGACTTTTTGATGATTATGGCTGTACCACCGCCTTTGGTGAGTCGGTCTGTGCGGTAAATGGCGTTTATGGCGTTTAGGCGTTGACCAAAAGTGAATGTTGGGTTTTAGGAAAGTTTCTTGGATAAGAGCGATGTCTACATCGTTTTCCTTTAGGTATGCCTCAAATTCGTACTTTTTGGCTGCATTCCAGGAGACGATATGGACACCTTGGGGTTTTATGTTATGCCTTAGCATAATATTTTAAGTACTGGATTTTGGGAAATTAAAGCCGCCATTCTGGTGACTTTGGCCTCAATTTCTTTGTCGGAAAGGAGAAGGAGTTGAATTAGTTGGGGATTTAGGTTTGGGTTAGTCGCAGGTTTTGGGGGCGGGGTTTGGGTTAGCTTGGGTGGAGCTTGTTTAGTTGGATGTGTGGGAGGAGTGTGTGGCTGTGATTTTTCGGTGGCTTGGGTCTTTTGGGCATACGAAATACCTGTTTCAACTTTTTTGTTGAAAAGGGCTAATTTTCGTTTTGCCTCTGTTTATTGGGCAAAGTTGGGATTTTTGGGGCAGGGAAAATAGCTGGCCGGATGTGGGCCGCCGCAATTGCAGCATTTTGCAGGAACGTCACGAGATTTCGTGCACTCCCTGTAGAAATGCGGCTCGGCGCATTTGTGGCAAATGGCTTTTGAACCACAGTTCGTCACGGAATGCCCGAAATTTTGGAACTTCTTGCATTGTGGGATATGCTTGATGTTGAGCGTGTTGGAGTTTCGCTGGGGTTCGATAAGGACTGGCAGGTTTAGGATGTGTTTGACGTGCTGGAAACCTGCCTGGGATTGTGGCAGCAGCACTTTGACCATGTTGGAAACTTTTTTAAAGTTTCCTAAACGGTAGAATTGGGTTTGTTCTGGGGCAAAGCTAAGCCCAATTCTACCCGGCTCGGTTACGGAACATAGGTTGGAAGTTCTATTTGAATCGAAACGCCACAGATGTTATGCGGTGAGGTATAGCTGGCGTTTCGGTTGGAGCTGCTAGTTGAGAAGTGGTGGATAGAGTTCGCCACATCTGATATAACCTAACCTAATAAAAATTGTCTCTGATATAACCTAACTTTAATTTTCATGCATTCGTTTTAGCTTGCGTTGTTTTCAAAAGTGTTTTGGGGCACATATGAATTGACCATCAGAACAATACATAATCAGGGCTTTGAAAATGGCTTCAATAAGGTGTCAGTCCACTTTCGATGATATACGATCTGAATTTAAGGTAGGTGTTGAGTGCAAAAGTTGGAAAAAATATTTATTCCAAAAATGGAATCAAAATGTGATTCCATTTTAGCAATATAAGTTTATTGGGAGATTTGCCGGTTTAATTCAAGCAGCAATAACCAACATGGGGTCCCAAATGATAATTAAGCAAATTTCTGCAACATAATAAATATAAGCTAGTATAGGTTATTTCGTAGTCCGTTGCGTTATATCTTCACAGATCTTGCAATACTTAGTAATCATAGTTTGGTGTATTCTGTGATTTTTTATTAAGACATAAACTTGAGCATTAGTTGCTTGAAGGCAATTCGGATTCGTTTATTGCTTTAAATTTGAACGTCCTGAGTAAGCGAAGAAACTGCTGTCTTTTCTGAGTTATCAGGCCTCCGTCTGCAGGAATTTGATTTTGACCCGATAATTCCTACAATTTGCTGAATGAATTTCTTTTTTTGATTCCTGTATAAAACAACATAATGACTCAATACCAGCAGTTTATCACAGTGTTGTACTCGGTAGTGAGTCTAAGTTTGAATTCCAGAATACTCTCAAAGCAGCATTCGAAAAACATAATTATGAAATTCTGGAAAAGAAAGTTGCATCGTTTAAATCTACTGAAATAGATACTAAAACGCCTCTGGATCAAGCGTTTAGAGAAGTTTTGTTGCATCTGCTTAGCGAGGAAGCAGATGTGACTGTTTTGAGATCTTTTATCCAGTTTTCAATTGAAGCATGCCGGAAACATTTAACCACACCTACAATGCCCGTTGTGCTATTAGGTAAGCAATCACTATCAGGACTTTTAAAAATATTACATCTTTGTATGCATTATTTAGTAGATCATTTTTTACTAATTGAACACAAAATATGCTCCGGTTATTTGCACGAAATTGTTCGAATGCTTAGTTAACTAATATTTTTAGGCGATATTTTCGACACACTAACACTTGATGTGTGTCAAAGCATGTTCAGCTTTGTTGAAGACAATGTACAAGTTTGGAAAGAGGATCTTTTTTTTACTGGTTGCAAAAATAATTTGCTTCGTTTATGCAACGATCTTCTTAGACGTTTATCGAGAACTACAGCGACCGTTTTTTGTGGAAAAATACTGCTATTTCTTGCAAAGTTCTTCCCATTTTCTGAAAGATCTGGTAACATTTGTAGGATGTTTAATTCGTTCGTAATTATGCAATTTATTTCGTTTGTAGGCTTGAACATTGTTAGCGAGTTCAACTTAGAAAACGTTACTGAATACGGTACAGATAATAGCACTGATGATATAGTAACCGAAATTATTTCCGGAGAACAAAAACACGTAATCGACTTCCCATTTTACTGCAAGTTTTGGAAACTGCAGGACTTTTTCAGGAATCCAAATCAGTGCTATGATAAAGTGCAATGGAAGGTCTTTTGCACTGTAGGTTCACTTACATACACTTCATAACTAGTTGAAATCCAGCAATTTTAAAGTAAACTGTTTTAGCATTCAATGAACATCCTTAACACGTTTCAAGGAATTAAACTGGATTATGTGAACTCATCAGATCAAACATCCAATGTGGGCTATTTTGCGAAATATTTGACTAGTCAAAAGCTACTGGATCTTCAGCTGCATGATGTCAGTTTTCGAAGATCTGTGTTGCTGCAATTTTTGATTGTCTTTCAATACTTAACATCTTCGGTTAAATTTAAATCGTGAGTTACACATATGAATTTCTACATACCTATCGACTGCAAGACATACTCATTCTAGAGATACTTATGAATTAAAACCGGATCAAAAGGAATGGATTCAAAGTGCGTGCGAAAAAGTGTACGCTTTACTGCGAGAAACCCCACCCGATGGCGAAAACTTTGCAAATATTATCAAAAACATTCTCAAGAGAGAGGAGTTGTGGAACTCATGGAAAAACGATGGTTGTCCAGGTATTTTTTAAACACAATTAACTGAACCCTGTTTTGCAATTAATAATCACTGTCTTTTTTAAGAAATTAAGAAATTATTACCTCAAAGTGAACCCGCTGAAGCCCCAAAACCCAAAAAAGCAACTATGCTTTTGGGTGATTTGGTGAAAGACGCTAATAAAGATGGAAAGTTTTATATCGGCAAGTAAGTGAAAAACAATGCATTTTCCAGGCTACTTTTGAATGGTTTATTTGCAGTACGGAACTTACCAAATTATGGAACATATGCCCCAGCAATTTAGATGCATGCAAAGACCGCGATTTTTTGCCATCTTTAGACGACTATTTTGCTGATGCTGTTACTCAAGTAGAATCGGCAAATCCGACTAAAGATGATGAAAATCTATTAAAAGACTGCAATTTTGGTATGCCCAATTGTTTTTAAATTCGTATCATTTGAAGGCATTTATCGAATGTTAATATTCACAGGTTGGAGGGCTTTGCGATTATTGGCAAGACGAAGTCCCTATTTCTTTTCGATCAATACTCAAAACCATCCATTACCAAAATATTTAGAGTTAATGGTTCATAAAATTAAAACTCATGAAAAACCAGGCCGACATGATGAAAACAGTCAGGTAAAATAAAATGTGTAGTATTAGTGAACATGATGAAATGGATGGTCTTATTGTGCCTAGGAAGCGCAAACCGAACAAGAGATGGAGGAAAACATCCTAACAGAAGAACAAAACACCGAAGATTTTAAACAAAATGAGTACTTTGCAGAGGAGAATAATCCACGTCAAGAACCTACAAAAGTGAGCAATGATATTCGGCAAATTATTGTCGAGAAAGTGGCCCCCGAATGGGAGAAATTAGGAACCAAATTAGGTTATAAAGCCGACGAAATTGAATGGTTCAAAAACGAAAACAAAAAACGAATCGATCAGGCGAAACACATGATGGATCTCTGGTTTGAGGACGATGAAGACGCCAACTTGGACAATCTGTTGTATATTCTCGAAGGTTTGGAAATGAACGAAGCGGCAGAAGCTGTGAGAAACGAGATAAATACAATGACAGACTGATAAGAGTAAGCCATTCTATGAATATTGTGTTTTAGAATGGAGGATTTACAGTCTAATGCCCACTCTGTAATTTTCATTTTATTAAATATTAAAACTATTTTCAACATTAATAAAATATACAAATCTGATTTACAATATCAACAATTTCCTGGTATTTACAATATCATATATAGGTAACTATCCCGCCACAAAATCTCTAAATGAAGACTGGCTTTTTAAGTGAGACAATTTTTTACGGTTTTGTAGGTGGTATTTCCACGTAAAATCACTATTTTTGTCAAAAAAACTAAAGCCACAGCTGAATTAACTGAACAATATAGATTAAAATTCTAACTAAAACATTTACAACTAGGAGACTTAACATTGTATTTGTTTTGAGACGAAAATTATTTTCTATTAGTTAACATAGAATGGAATGTTTTTGTTATATTAAAGTATCACCAGATTCGACAAGATGGAAGACGTAAAGGAGTTTTGGCCCAAACCAAAGGGCTGGCTTGTTAAGGCCACAATTATTACTTTTTATATCCCTTGCCATTTGATTTATTCCCCTCCAAAATGGAATATTGAGATTGTAGGTTCCTCCAAAGGTCCAAGAGCTAAGAGGGATACAAACAAAAAGTAATTACCGATCGCGGAGATGATTTGTGAATTATTCAAGCGCATTATCTGAGGTTTGTGTAAAGTGGATCACTTACAGAAGGATTAAATCTTACCTCAAAATGGGTCTTGGTCTTCAAGTCAACAAAACTAGCAAGAATCGAGGGCATAGTTCCCAAATAGGCAAACACTAACTGAGTTTCCATGTGCACACAGTACAAGCTAAAATCGGTTCTGAGGTCGATGCTAGATATGATGTTTTCCTGAGCTAACATTTTAGATTCGAGTTTTTCGACACTCTCGGAATCGATCCCTCTGATTGCTCCTTGCAATTTCTTCTTCTTCAAAGTCAGCAATTTCGACAAAGCCACTTGGTGATCGTGGGCCAAACCTCTTTCCAAGCGTTCACACAATTCCATATGCGCCACCAAAATATCATAGAGTACACCCAATTTTTCGCAGACTGTTCTTTGCTCAAAATCAGCTCTGGTTTGACATGTTTGCGAAATTCCATGAAGATCTCTATAAAAATAATACGGCCTAACGCTAGCAATAGGACTGGCATGTATGAAATAATTTAAGAGCGAATATTTACTTAGACATTCCATCAAAACACCGCTGTACATTGCTCCAATTTTCGATAAAGTTCTGACTAGATCCCACATTCATAACACTCATGTTCTTCAGTTGTGTGGATATGTCTTCGATATTAATTGCCGATTCTTGAGATTGAGTCACGAGAGACTCTGCGTTTTGTTTCAATCTTCCGACAATGTTGACTAAGCTTCGGATATTTTCACGGCTTACAGCGATTTGCCCATTATCAGCTGGTAACCATTCCTGAATTAAGCATTGTATTTAGTTAAAACGCTTTCTATCGGGCAACGGAAAAATTGCCTTTGCAGTGGCCGATAGGTCCGAAGTCATAAACTCATCTGGCACTTTTCGGAAAGTGTTTCTAATCCGATTTTGGACATCCGAGCCTTCGTCTGTTAAAAAAAAGGCCAGGATGCTATCGTGGCATATGATAGGATGCCTGCATACAAGAGTAAGCCATCTCTGCAAGCCACGCGTTCTTTCTAGGAGAAATTGGCTATCGTTCATGATAATTTTTTTTGGCGGAAGACTTGGGACTAATCTAAAAAATAGTTTAATGTAGAAATTTGTAATAACATTTTTAGAAACCTTGCTTACCTATAAGGGAATCGGTTCAGTAATACCTCATGCAACGCGACAAAATCGTTATATCTTCTTGTAACTTTTGAGCCAAATCGCTTCGATGCAACGAGATACTCAGAGTATTTCAAAAACAATCCTTTTTTCTCCGGCACGAGTTGAACAACAATTAAATCAATTTCAATAAGTTTTTGATAGTTTTCAATTGTCAATGGCCTCGGTTCAATGAACATGTTTTCTTTTACTTTCAATACCGGGGTCAAATCGGCAAGTTTCGGAGTAGGATACTCTGAGAAATAATTGCAAACCCTTTGAATGATATAACGGATAGTTCGAGTGAAATAACGTACCATCCCCTGTAAAGCTATCGAATAACTTCTCAGAAATTTGTTTGCCTTGTTGTGCCCATGCAATAAGTGCCAACGTTTTATAAAAGTTTGTTCGATTAACAGCATTTTGCGTTTGTCGCTGAGGACCAACCAAATCCCAAATTATTTTAAGCTGGGTATTGTCCAAATTACATTGCGACAATAGTGATTTGTAAACATCAATGTGAATGGGTTCATCATTGTTTGAACATTTGCTGTAAAGGTCCCTGTATGAAACAGGAATTGCAGCTGAAATATAATTAATTTATACATTAAACTATACACAGTGTGTCTGTTTAAGTTTTAGTCGTATAGAAAAGTTTTTATTGCTGATTTCAACATAAAAAATTCTGTATGATCGAAACGTTACAATGCAACCATGAGAATTTTTACGAAGTTATTTAGGAGACATTTTCGCAAACAAATAAAACAAAATGTGCTTTATTACAAGAAGTTTTTAGCTTGTACATAATTGCGAACTCGTATTTTGTTTTTTGTAAAACTAGTACGTAACTAGTATTTTGTTTCGGCAAAATATAGTATGCAGTCGATTAATACCCATAAAGCTGATAAAAATGTGCCTAAAGAATAGGTATGAAGCAAAACTGGTCCTACCTATTGCCAAACAGCGAGCAAACATTATAGATTTATTGTATCACTTAAAAACAATATCGTACTTCATATTTGCCAAATTTATTCATCAATATTCCTGAAAATATGCCAATATAAATAAACAAACACACACACACACACACACATCTATAATCCACACAAAATATGTGGAAAATGATAAATTCCAGTAATACGTTGCCTATTAGTCATCGCGCTCGAAAACACGTCAATCTAAAAATACTGAATTATCATGTTTTTTTTATCTGAATAGTTTTGAAAGATGGGAAGACCTGTTAGTTAGTTAAAATTGTCTCGCAACTCTAGACATTTTTTTAAATAATATAGGTAGTTGCATTTTCTTACCAGAACTTAAGGTAGTGGTCATAATTCCAGCTTGGACAACATGTTTGCAACAATTAAATCAAGCGGATCATCGATTTCCATGGAATTATACCTAGGTATTTCGACTATTGCACAACTGAAAATAAAGAACATCTTCGATTTTGTAGATGTTTTTAGTAGAGATTGTAGATGTTTTAGAACCAACCAGAACACCCATAGAACAAAATCCCATCAAACCGTTTAGAAAGTGAATTGTTTAAAAATATGATTGAATTGAAAATGTTTCATTAACCGGTTGAAACGTACATCGCCTTCACTTTAATACAGTTTAACAAACAATAATGTATTTCGAAATGATTTAGAAGTATTCTGGGTATTTGAATACTTTTCAAGCTAGATGATACATAAGACAGTTGAGTTTTCCGATTAAAAGCATATAAAATGTAAGATTTTTAACTACTAATGGCACTTTTTATACTGACAAAATAGGTGACAATGCTTGTATAGATAAATTACGATAAACTCATCGCGTGGTGATTTACAGTGAATTCCCAATAGAATTCATTTCCAGTTTGAGTGGAGAGGGAGAGTAATTGTGTTTTGATTTTCCAATGAATTAACAAGTAGTCACAATTATTCGCAATGACCCAATATTGAGCGAAAGTGATATGAACTTATTTCTGGAAGAATTAATTTAAAAATATGCTCATGAACACCACAAGTACCTATCAAGCTTGAAACTTAGTTTGATATTTTTATAAATGTATAATATTCCAGAAAAATGAAAACACTTGTGCTCATAAACACATTGCACAATTGTATGTTTTGGAACTTGATCTCTGTCTTGTACCCCCCACAATTTAATTACATACTTACCTATTATTGAAACATTTCGCACAGAAAAATTAAGATGCAAAAAGAAAGTAACAGCAACAACCAACTACACAATAGAACAATGATGAGTGTAGGCGTATCATCTAAATTACACGTAAAACGACAATCCCCCCCAACCCCCCAAGGCAACTACGGTAAACAATATAGAAATAATTAAATTAAAATCAGAAAACAAACATCAGGAAACTAAACATACATAACTTAACCACAGTTTTGACGTGTTGACGTTGAAACATGAAAACTACGCAAGTCAACAACTTGACCTAGAAAGAAGAGTTGAAATACCAAAGATAAGGACAGAGATAGGGGAAGTACAGGTTTATTGTTTACGATTTTGCGTTTTTAATTTTAGGAAAAATTCTTAAATTAGTTTAATATATTTCAGTATACAATATATAATTTACTTGCGATCTTTTTTTAGAAATTAAATCTATAATTTTTCGCAAAAAAACGCAGAAGGGTCCAGGTGGGCGGCCAAAAACTAAATCTCTATTGCTGCGATAATTCCAGAATGCACGATATTCCGGAGTTTATATAAGAGTAGTATTTTACCTGTTACTTTGAAACTGTCCATTCTCAATCATCTTTCTGCTGGCGAAATAAAACATTCCATTTTCAACAAACTGTTCTGGTAAATCTTGCCGCCTGGGCCTGTTTTTAAGATCGAAATTCAACGGGCAGAGTGTTCCATTCGCTCGCCGCCATAAAAGTTCAAATGACCTAAACGCATTTGCCAAAGGAAACAGCCGTTAGGAAATATTGGCTCTTTTCACATATAAAAAAACTTGGAATATTAGAAGCAAGAGACAGGCAAACGCATCGTAAAACATCGCTAGGAAAATGACGGTAGTTTTCACACAAAAGTTAAAGATAGACGTTAATTTATTTTTATTCTATCTTTTACTGCGGCTTTCTATTTTCTCTCGATAAAAGATAGTTCCATCTTCCAGAACTTCAGTAAATAATAACATAAAACTCACCTTGTTACCGAGAATACGCATTCGAATTTTTCAATAGTCCTTCTTGCTTGTTCGAGATATTCCTTTCTCAAAAAAGGAGAAGTACACTGTATGAGAGCAACTATATCAACTACAGGATGATGTTTTAAAAACTCTTGAGTGGCAAAAAGTGAAGACCCTTCATCTGTAGCTGTATCCCAATTCCTCCAATGCACATTTACATTGTCTAAAATTTAGTTTTTTTAGGCAAATTTTAGCTATTTTAGGCAAACCATTAATTTCCAACATAAGACAGATAGAAAAAATGTATCGCGCTTTTCAAACATCATTCTCTACCACGAAATATTAATTCGTTCCTTCAAATATCAGGACGCTTATATATAAGCGTCCTGATATATGTATGTATATATACACTTACATTTTCTGGCTTCGTCGTAAATTAAATTATGATCTGTGGACACCCAAACAGAATTAAACCCCAGTGTTTTTATTTCATTAAGAGTGCGCCCCAATAACGTTCGTTCTCCTACAGTTCGTATATTTTTTAATCTGATAGCTTTCGAACCACCTCTGGCTAGCACTAAAGCAGCGATGTGAGGACTATGAGTAAATACTTGCCTTGAAATGAACAAAAAATTACGAAAAACGAGAGAGTTGAGGTTTTGAATGTACCTTTGAAAGTGTTCACAACTAGACACAATACTTATAAGCGCAAAAGCAACAATATTAAAATAATGTCGCATGTCTTTTTCGTTACTCGTAGAACTACCGCTTGAAGCCTGCAGTGAAGATATGCGCGTCTCAATAGGAGTAACGAGGAAATAGACGTTTAGCACAGTTAACTGGTTAATGACTTAATATATAAAAATGCGATGTGAGTGATTTTATCAGTATTTCATACAGAGTGTAGACAAGTATTTTTATATATTTATTTAATAAGAATAGAAGTTTGACAATAAAAATATTGTCCAAAATCATTTTCTCAAATGCTCCTTAAACAGCATTTAAACTGAAACAGATATTTAAAGAGAATAAAGGAAAACTTTGCAATGTTAAAAAATGCCTTTAAATATCTTTAAATTATTTATTAACATTTGTTCGCATTTATTAATATGCAATTTAAAACAACTAAAACGAAATATTTATTCAATACATACAAATCTCAATCTAAAAAATATTTGACTAAAGGGTATTGGTAAAGAAACGCAAGATCGAGTTCCTCATATTCTATAAAACCTAAAATTAAACCATCAGATATTAATTTTAATCAGTTTGCCTTAATAAACTGCTGATCAGCTTTGAAAACGACATTTCGAATTTTGAATCATATCGATCTATCGTGAAAAAACTTCTCAAATTATCGCATTTATATTTAAATTACAAAATACTTACTAATACGTACTAAGAAAACCGAGAAGTTATTGGGTTTCTACTAAACAAAAAACATAAATGTTCCATGTTAAATTTTAATTAAAAATATATTGAAAATTACTTAGAATTGAGAAATGCAGATAATTTCAAAAATATTAGGAATGAAATCTTAACAATTTTGATTACTGCCTCTATAGGTTTAACGAGCTTTACATGTATCTTTCTTCCATTTAATTATTTCTAAAATTTCATTCTTTCTTCAATTTATTTGTGTTCATTTCAAACTGATTTAAAAAAATTTTGGACAATTTTAAAAATAAAAAGCGGTTTCCTATCTGAAATAGCTGATTTCAGTTGACTCGAGCGGTCAGCCTAGAGCGTGAAGAATTTAAATTTCTTCATAACGCACTTTCTTGATTTCAGTGTAATATATTATATAAAAAAACCAACAAAGCATGATTCATCAAGCGAGAATTATGATGTAAAAATTTTGTATGTTGGTGTATAAAAACTTTCCTTAGATGAGTTTCGCGTCCCTTTTATCGATATGGTTTTGTACAATTGAACAACATTTTAGATTATTTTGTATATAATATAATGTGTTTCTGGATCTGTCGCAATCCCTTTAATTTTCCCAGCTTTAGAAGGTCAAAAGAAAATCATAATCAGTGTACATACAATTTGTTTCATGTCTGAGATTTAGGCAAAAAAAAATGGTAAAAATTTTAAGAATCTAAAGCTATTTTCAGGTCTAAAGCAAAATCATTGTACGTTCATTCTTCACTTGATTTCATGACTTCTTATAACATCTTTTCGCGCATTTTAAAATATGCAATAATTATGGCTGAATTTAAGAGGAAAGAAAATGAAAGGCTTGTGTATTCTGAAAAGTTAATAGCATTTATTGACTTTAAATAAAATCTCTTGCTGGCTGATTTCCCGGATTCCGTTGAACAACCCTTTGAGGGTGATTCACTATAACTAATCTTTCGAGCCAAACACATCTGAGGATGCATGCCCCACTCGTGCTTGCGAAATTGCAGGATAAACAAAATATATTATTCCGCCCCGTCGACCTAAACTCCGAAATATTCAACATTTTACGCTCTAAATTGATTTGTATTACTTTTATATAACTTTATTAATCTTTACGCTCCGCAATTCGTTCAATTGACTGATTCTACTGCCTTAACTAATTACCTAATGGCTATTGATTAAAAGTCCAATTTGAAATGACTAATCTTTTACACCGGTAAATACTAACTTCGTATTGTTGGCTTGTTGCCACTAGGAACCTACACGAATCCGGTTTCCAAATATGTGTTGCCAAGGACTCTTTGACAAATCAAACCTCCTTTTTTACTTTGATTTTGCTCAAAAACACTTATCTTGTTATTATTAATTGGCGCGTCTTTGAGGCATCAGTAAAATGGAGTGGCCCAGTAAAAATATACCTTTTGGAGGAATTCTACATCCTGCCAGAGCCAATTATAGCCCAGAAACACATCAGTTCATCAAAGGTACCAAAAAACAACCAAAAAATGTGTTTATTTATCGGAAAATCATTCGTAGTTTTAATGGAAGAGAGCAAGCTTTCAATGATGCAAAGGAAATCAATTAATTACTCTCTAAGAAATGGTCAACCACTTCCCACTTCGATCAACAGCTCTAGACAAAAGCGTTCACAAATTCCTGAAGTCACAATCCGACCCGGATCGTCTCGAAGGCGCTCACGAAATGATATAATTTCTTCTGGTGCATACGAAAGGGAACCATTTAGAGTAAGTATTGATTGGATGGATGTCTGCCTTCAAATGCGCTTTACAGGCGGTAATTTTTCATTTAGCCCACGTACCCGGTGATTGATAGGGAAAAAGAGAAAGTTAAATTAGCAAACATGATGGCATATAACAGAGATATTGAAGTGAAAAAGTCGAGAGTTATCAAGAAAATCGAAATTGACGGAGTTAAAGAACAGGGCAACCGATTTGATCAGCGTGAGTAATAAACAATAGCTAAATTAGATTTACTCAGGTGAAATGAAGAAATTGCGTTTTCGGATTTTCAGTAATCGAAGAAATAAAGGAGCGGGAACAGTGGCTTAAAGAAATGGAACAAATAGGACATGCGGAGAAATATAGACTAATTATTCAGCAGCAAATCCAAAACAAAGTTAGAGAAATGCAAAAGCTTAAATCAGCAGGAGATAATTGAAAATGGGAAGGTTTCAAAATATAGTATTTACCTGAAATGTGTAACTTATTCAAAAAATCAATGTGTTTTCAAAACGTTTTGTGGAGTAGTTCGCCACAAAATTTAGTGCCTTGACAAAACTGAATTTTCTCACGTGTTTTATTTCGAAATTAAAGAATTTCCTTATTTATCCATAGAGAACCAATTCTTTGTCAAAATTCGATAAATTTTGTAATTTCATAGACAACAAGACTGAATTTCTACTACTTGACCCTCCCCCTGACACAAAAGCTGGATCCGCCTCTGGAAATAAGAGAACCTGTTCGATCAATTTGTAATAAAAGACGTGAAACAATCTTGTCTTTTCACGACACAAAATGTTGAGGCAAAATACCCAAAACCCATCATCTGAAATAAGTTGTCTGCAGCCAAATTTTGGCATACAATCCGCGGGTACTTTCTAAAGCAGTGTATTTTGGCAATATACATATTTATTATTTTAGAAAAACAGAACTAATTATTTATATTAATAAAAATTTGGTGTAAGTATAACAATACAATATTGAAGCCATTCTCTCCAACAGCAACATTTACTTTGATCGACAATATAAATCAATTTAAGTAATCACTTTTGATATGATTCATGAATTTAATGGAAAATGATGCAGTACTTGGGTAAAAAAGTATTAATTAACTGATGTCTTAATTATCTGATTGGCCCTTAACGTTCATCAGCAACCATCCATACAAAGTATGCCGTTGCTAAGAAGTAGCCACTTGATTTAAAGGACCTTCCAAATAGGCCGACAGGGCGGTAGCTTTTTGTTTAAGCATTCCAAAACCTACAGTGTTTTTTGCATATAAACATAATAACACATTGGCAACTTGTGTGATTGCTATACGACCCTCTTGAAACTCCATCATAATTATTTGCGGTTCATCTTCCCGAAGAGCGATTTTACCTGGAATGAAAATATCAATGACTACTTGCAGCTTGGGCTGTCTCAACTTCCAGCTACCATTTTTCTCGTATTTGCTCCAAATATTACTTGCAATTGCGGCAGTAACTCTTGCATCCTTATCACCATAGCCACTGTATGCTAGAAGAAGGCCTTCTTGGTTCACTAGGCTATGGTTGAAAAAAAACGCTACAATCACAACCATATTCCCAAGAACATTTAATTATAATAGCTTTATTATATATTGAACCTACTTATTTAGGCTTGCAAATTATGCCCACTATCCTCTGAAGATATTTGTTAAGGACATTTTTTAGTAACCAGTTCAAGATGAAGTTGTGATCAGTTTATCATGCTTGTAGTTTCGATCAGCTCCAATTAAATGCGAGTCTAGTTTGATGATAAAGTGTCCTAATATCGCAATGATAGAATATCTAAATTTGAACTTGAAAAAGGTGTTTCAGATTAATAATAAATAATCTTATGCCAGATTTAGCAATGTGCCTGGTAACGAAAGAAATCAAGCAATGGAATATCGCAATTTGTGATTAGCTTAGTTTATAGTTAAATCATTCCTTACGATATTAACAATAAACTTCTGTAAATCAATTATTAAACATATTATTGCCAAAGATAATACCACTTTTCAACAGGAGTTGTTAAAAGGGAAAATCTTACTTCTAATAACAACTGAAAATAACTTACAGTGTATTTTCTACTCCACCTGTATTGGCTTGGCTTAGAACTTGAGTTAAAACCTTTGGTTTCAGCATTTTTGTACTATTTGTTACACCTCACAAACGTTTAAAAAAACACCTATTGTTTATTTATATTTTGACTGTCAGACTGTCAGGTTGACACCCAGAAATAACCTTATTTTTTTACGAAATTCTGGGGACAACGTTGCCAAGAAATGTGTTTTAGATTTGACTTCTTATAATTAATTACGATTATTCGCATTTATTTATCCATTTAATGAAATATGTGAAAAATCGTTTGTTTAAATCGCGATAATCGAAAGGTAAGAGACTTGAAAGTTTAATAAAATATTGAAATTGAACTAACATTTTAGTTTTTAAAATTATAAATAAAATTGAACATTAATTTTTACTCTGATGATTTAGAGAAACAAAAAGCGTTATTTAATAATTTTATTTCTTATTATGAATGTAAGTGAAAATAACTATAATGATACAATAAATTCCATTATACCACTGTTAAGGACCACATCTTATATTATACAAAATCCTAACTCTTAAGAGAATACTATATACATTTCACTGCAATGATAATTACGTAAGACTAATAAATCGCATACCAGCTTTATAAATAGAACAAGGTTTATTTTATATACATTTTAAAAAATAACGCAACTATAGCAATTGTAGCGATAATTAAAGAGTTTAAATAATTAATTTACACAATAACAGAACATCTTATAAAGCAACAAATATAAATCTTATATAAATAGAATGTTTCTTGCTTTCAATTAAATACTGGAAATAATTGATCTAGAATTGTATGCGGACAACTTAAAAAATGTATTACAAAAATGCGTTCTTATCTGGAAATTTATAATGGTCATACAAATGTATGTTTTAATCGAGCATATATTATCAATAATGGAAAATGTGTTACCAATTTAACCAATCACGAATCAAAAATCTCATTGAGAAAAGCTTTTAATTAAAACAGGAACTTCTTAAAGCACTCTAGTTCCGACGGTGTTTTAGAAAACGTTAGCAATTTGCTCATAATTCCTGGACAAATATTTTGAATTTAATTGATTATTAATAAAAAGTTTCAACTATTATTTAATCACTATCCAGTTTCAATTTGCACCATTGCCGGTTGAAAACAATTAGATCATAGGTTGGAGTTAATAAACGGCATATCAAATGGGCAACGTAAAAGCTACTTAATCCTCTATGACTTTGCACCATTATGTTTACTTAGTCCAAATTAGTATTTGTTGTCTTTAATATTCAATCTGAAACAGAACATATGCGGTAGAAGAAGATAGCAATGAAATAAGTAAATAGACAAATCAAATAAATGTTGTCCATTTTACTCACGTTTAGATGTTAAGACAAGAATGGATTTGCAGGTTCGCTAGGTTTCATCCAAGGTGCGCCTACATTTCCGTTGCCATTGAGCGTGGAGTTGCTTGGAACTGGTGTCCAAGGGTCTGCTTGAGCACCGGAGGCTAAATCGTGCAAAACACAAAAGTTTTCAAATAAAACTGACCAAAAAAAAAACATTCAATTTTTTAACATTTGTAAAACAAAACAAAAAAAATGGCAAAGTTTTCTAACTTTAAACGCGGATAAAATTGCAACCAACCTGCAGCTCCAAATGCGGTCCCAATTGGTTGAGGCTGCCCGCCAAATTGAGCGAAAGATTGTTGTTTGATTTCGTTGATCGTCGGTTTAGGAGGCTGCGTATTGAAAACTGGACGAGCAGCAGGTTGAGGCACTGTGGGATCGGAGAACGGATTGGCAACTAAGGCTGGATTGTTAGGCTTGCCTAGAAATGAAATTCTCTTAGTTAAGTCATAAAAATACAACATTGCGCCGATCACTTACTAGTAGTAACTAAATTATCTAAATTGACTAAGGCGGAATTCTCCCCTAAGAAGCTTTGAGGGGTTTTCTTGGTGGCTCCCATCGACGGACTGGACCCAGAGGGTGCAAGAACATCACCAAGCAAATTCAACTCAAACGGATCATTTGTTGTTGGAATGTTCCCGTTTGTTTTAGGCGATGTAGGCCTGTTTCTGAAACGTTTAAAGGTTTGGTTAATCGTTTTAATCAATTTTTTTTGCATCCTCAACCTGAAATTTACCTGTTAGTAATAATATCAAATTCATCCAAATCGGTAGACGATCCGGGGCTTGTAGGTGACCATGGATCGCGCCTAACTAATTCAGATCCGGTGTTAACAGGAGATAGATTACTAGGAGGAGCACTTGCGCCACCCTGTAAACCCCATGGATCGGGCTTAGGTCTGATTGGTTGTGCTGCTGATGGTTGCCATGGATCGGCCACTGGGGCGGGATGGTTTCGTGCGGGAGAAGATAAAGCGGATGATTGCCAAGGAGAAGATTGCTGAACAAAAAAAAAGTGGAACTCATAACGCTATTTTTCGTGCGTTTTTGGCGCTAGCAGTTTATTACAATATTTAAAAACTGACGTGGGTTTGAAAAGATAAAAATGGCCATTCACATTGGTGACTAATTAGTCGGATTAGTCACTCCAAGAAGTTTATTCACACTGTAGCAATATCAGGCTAAATTAATATTGAGGCAATGGACACTGCAAGAGTTGTGGTTCGGTGGATTTTACCTAATAATTAAATTTCCACTAATGGTTTTGTTGTTGCTGAAGCACAAGGCGCAACAAATTACAATTACCGTAAAAACATAAAACATTCGCCGGTTTCAGGACTTGCATACAGGGCGTTAAGAAAAAGTTGATCGTCATTCACTTTCTTACTTCAAATAATAATATAACTTTTTCTGTGTTGGACACGTTAATCGTTTGATGATCGCTATTAATTTAAAAATTGAAAGTACCTCGTTTTAAAGAGATTCAGGTTGATCAGCAAATTTAAATCGTGAAAAAACTAAACATAAATCACAATCGCCGTTCATAAATGGATTTTCAGTTTATCACGTGAAAAGTAAAAAGTAGGAAAGAAAATAAAAATGTGAATAATTTGTATGTTAACTTGGTGGGCTTCGCCACCATTGCTCCAACCAGTGAGTTTGGCCGTCGTGGCAAATAACTTCCTCCTAACGTTTTGCAACCACGAGTGGTTCTCATCTTCAGAGGGGCGTCGCCCAAAACGAACACAAATCTGCAGTTGATCTGGCCACTCGCCAAACGGCAAGATAAAAAATATTATTCACGGCGGTCTAAAAGCTCGAAAAACTTAATCAAAAAAAGCCGGTTTCATGTAATTTTTTGATAAGATTCAATGGAAAGCAAACAATTTTGAGCAAAAAGCGTGCTAGATTTGTTCACTATTAATATCAGGACCACAATCACATGTTACGATATACATAGTAAAATATGGGTCAATTGATTTTAATTGTTTCGATAAAAAAAGCTTACGAAACACTAAAACCATTGAAACAATGCACAAACAAATTTTAATACATGTTGTTGTGTTTCTCAACCTCAAAAGGTTCAATTACTGTCCATTTTGACTAAGCAAAATAAAACATTACTGGCTTATTTGTTAGGATACAAAGCTGCAAATTTTGCTGGTTCATGTATAGTTGCCAATTCTTGAGACACGCACACAAACACTAGCAAAACTATACATACCACTGGACCAAACTCAAAAATATTTAAGTCCAACGACTATAAGAAAGAAAAAAATTTAACATTTACAAATCGCACGAGCAACAATTATATATAATTGTTAAAGATTCGTCTGAGAGAAAAAGAAAGTTGCTAAAAAAAAATTGGAAATACATATCTCAAATACATAAAAAATTACCTGCGGTCTGGGAGGCTGCGGCATTCCCCAGGGATCAACAGGAGTGGGATCGCCGCCCAAATTAACATCTAGCAGGTCCACTAAGTGACTTTGGGGTATTTTTTCAGTAGACTTTCTGAAATGAAAATAAAGCAGGTGAACACTTTAGCATTGTAATGATTTAATCGAACTTACTTAAAATCTTGTTGGCTTTGACTCAAAGCCAACTGAAGTCTCACATCGTCCGACTTGCGCTTCTGTTCCTCCTGTTCGGCCTCTTCCCTTGACATGGCTAGAGCGAGCTGCAATTGCAGCTCTTCTTCGCCGGCAGTCTGAGGGCGCGCGATTTCTATATCTCGTGGCAATTCCGCTAAAATATCTGACTCTTAACATGTGGAAGTTATACTAAAGAGTGTTAAGTTGACAAATTTGCGAACAGATGTAAAAATTACTACCAGAATTCCCGGAATCTCGACTTCCCCACTCGCCCCTAAATGCGGGATATTTGGGACTGGTTGGAGTGTCCAAACCGCCATCACTACCAAATCCACTGGCACTCTGAGCAAACCGTTCTTTTGCTTTTAATGCTCGAGCTCGCTCGTTTTTGAGTCTTTCATCGTCTTTTAACAAATTCACCAACTGCTTGGCCTTTTCTCTAACATTTTGACCCTGATCTTTTCCTGAAAAGTTGCAATTGAAATGTTTAACCAACTTCTTCTAACGCGGGCACGTAAGCAACCTTCTTCTAAATGCTGAAAGTCTTTCAGAGTTTGAATTGCATAAATGTTCTCTTTACACTGCTGTCCTACTTTTTCCGATCCAGTTTTGATCAGATACTCCAGTACAACCAAAGCCTTATAAACATGTCTCCAATTTTTACCATGGTCATTCAATCTCTTCCAAACCTTTAACAATCAATTTAGCTTTTCTAACATCATTTCGTATACAACTTACCATTTGCATTATTTCACTAAATGCCACTACATTATAAGTTAAATCGGCAATTTCCGCCATGATAGTACTGCTGGGGCCCCACGGATCATTGGAGGTGGCTTCGCGCACCTTCTTCTGTGCATCTGAATAATTGTGGGCGAAATTTTTTATATTTCGCCGAATGCCTGCTACATTCACTTGCATGTCGTGTGAATTTCGACGCATCTAGTTATTACATATAATTAAGTACTTATTATTGCCCAAATATAAACTTGGTTTAAACACAGTTAAATAAGTACGCCCGATTTTAAACGCTGTTTTCTCACGAAAATCATATACTCAGAATAATTATCTAGGTATATGTCTGGGCTAATCAATAGGTAGTAATCTTATCTTATTATTAACATATTATCGAAAACAAAAACTTACTTTTGAGCAGTTTTCAACTGTTGCAAATGGCTAAAGCTCAACTCAGCTGCTAAAAGAGATATTAAGAGTGTTAATAAAGAAAGCAAATCAAATCAAGCAAAGACAGCGTAAGGTTTCTTGCATGTTTTACGTAGACAAGGTCTTAAACCCTAAATCAATACCAGACTTTAAAATCAGATAAGTTTGTCTGGATATTTGTGATGTTTTAAATATCACAAAGGATGCATGGATTTGCAATTACGTTCTAACAAAGTGGGATAAACAAGAGAAAACACAGTTATAAATTAGATTTCACTGTCAGAGACCTTTGAGTAATAACTGAGGTTATTGCAGCTATAAAAATCGAACCTTGAAATCCATTACGAAAAGTGAGACATGACTTCTTTAAATGAAGCACTGCATTTGGCTATGTAGGTGACATTAGCGATTTAAAAGTATTAATCAAAGCAATGATTTTATTGGTTAGCAGCCCCGTTAGAATGTAGAGCTCTCTTAAGTGGGCCAATCAAGTAAATACTTTAGAAATCAGCTGTTAGATTCTAAAAATATATGAAAATTGAATTGTTGTCGACATACTAATCTGGCATAAAAATAAACAAATAAAGGTTACCTACCTACTCTCTTTGGATATCACAAATCGTTTGGTCAACTGCACGCTACCCTGTTGAAATTATCAAGTTTCGTTGGTTAATTCGCTTCAGTACTTGCAAACAGGATTATTTGTTCAAACAAGTTACGTAGTTTTTAATAAATTAGTTTTCTGTTCACTGATGACACTACACTTTTATTTTCAATACACACAATCAACATGGCCGCATATCGCTCCAGATATCTTCCTTCGATAAAAACTGATAACTAAGACCACTTTAGTACCGAATAAAGCATTAACAGATTCACGTGATAATTTTATATGCTCTGTTTACCTCTCACAACAAAAAAAAACAACACCCTTTTACAAAAATTTTCATGTAAAACTTCACATTTGACAAGTTAACGGAGTGACGTTCGCACGCTGGTTTTTTTTTTGAAAGACGTCATATATCACGTGGAAATCTTGCACCAGTACAGAAGTAGTTCAAACCGTCCGGATTGGTAGTTCTGGTGCGTTTATAGCGGACTAAAATTTTACGAATCTACAAGTTTATTATTTTTATTTAAATATTTCCATAAACGACACAGTTCTTTTTTTTATAGAGAAATTATGTCTTCTGCAATAATAAATTTCCAATTAATTTTTTTGAACCTCTTGAATTTAATTTATTAAAATTAAAAGGCTGACAAAAATAAGTTGCTATGCCAAAAAAGTAATTTTTTTTCTAAATTAATTTATCATGACTCGTTATTAAAGCAGTGGTGGAAGTTTCATAAGAGCTGCAGAGCTCCGCTAGAGAAAGAGAGACTTTACTAGCGTGGTTTGCACTTGGCTTGCAGTTTTTCCACATTTATCAGCTTTTTATAGCCTTTTTAATACCTATGACTTTGCATTGGCCTTGCCGTACATTACAAAAAGCTGCTTGCAAAACAGCGAACCACACAAGTAAAGTTTCACTGCATGGACGCGTCCTTTGTTATCTTATGGAAAAGTAGTGAATTTCAACGAATTAAACGTAGTCGACATTCGCATCAAAAACTTTGAAGAAAAGTTGTTAGGAAATAAATTATAGACAGTCAGCATATTGATAACTTCCAACACGAGGGGCAGATAGACTGGAAAACAATCGAATTCTGTTGATGTTATGGTAAAAGTGCGCCAGTATGCCTTAGTTATGTCTCAGTAAAGTAGCCGAAAGGGCTATACTGAGGAGACTCAAGGAGGAAACGAGCGAGCTTGATTTGCTGAATTTGAGCTTTGTGAAAGCATTTCACGGAACTTCAGCTGCTCAGGATAGTAGAAAGATGCACCAAAGAAATGAATCAGTACCGAACGACTGGAATACTCACACTGGATGTCGAAAGAG